GGAAGTGGACTACAAGAGTGTCGTGGAGGTGGTAGAGCAGATGAATGAGGATGTGAAGGTGCGAGATGAGGAGAAGGCGGCGCTATACGTGGCGACAGTGAGACCGGCCATGGCTCCGACAAGGTATTTGGCAGCGGAACCAGTAAATGAGCGGCCAACAGCGAATGAGGAGTGTGACGAACGAGGCGGTGGTATGGCGTGTGAGACGCACCCCGGTGGTGAAGATGAGGCTGGAACTGGGGAAGGCGGCGACGGTGTTGAGACTGGGGAAGGCGCCGAACTGACGAACTCAGTACACAGCAAAGAATTGAAGAAAACTGAGGGAACGGACGAAGACCCCAGCAGCGACGAGCGAAGTGTAGCGAGCGTCGCGTTGAGTCGGGAGGAACGGAAGAAGTTAAGGAAGCAAAAGAAACGACGAAGCATGAAAGCGAGGCTGGTCAAGCAACGTGAAGCAGAGCAACAGGCCAAGAACGTGGAGCAATCGGCGATCCAGGAGCAGCTGAACGAGAGGCAGAAAGTTGCCACCGAGACCCTGAAGCTTCACGAGGCCAAGGAACGAACGAAGACGGCCACAGATAGCGATGGAGAGTCTGAGCAGCGAGCAACAGCGCGAGTTAGCCTAGTGAAGCGACGTGGAGATACCGGAGGAGAACAACGAGACCATGGAGAGCGTGGAGCTGGTGAACAAATCGGAGCTGACGACGGACTGCCAACTGCGGTTATGGAGCTGAGTGGAGTTCGCAGGCAAGTGAAATTGGACAGCGGGGCCCGGTACACGATCGCAGGACCTGGTTGGATGAAGTACGGCGACAAAGTGGATCGAGCGGCTCCAGTAGAGTTCGTTGAGGGCATTGGCGGATTCCTTTTGGACGTGGTCGGCGTGTGGAAGTTCCAGATGAGAAGTGTATTCGGGGAAGACATCAGTATCGAGGCGTGCATAGTGAAGGGTTGTGGCGACGAATTCCTGTTAGGCGTGGATTTCTTACAGTCACACGGTGCCACGATGGACTTCGAACGCAACGAGATCC